ACACACACACACACACACACACACACACACACACACACACACACACACACAATCATGCACTTATAGTATATTACTACTATGACCGAAATAGTGATTCTGATTATGTACATCAATATTGATCGTGGGTGTAAGCGCCAACTGTGTTCGCTAAGACCAGCTACAGTTGGATCGCTTTACTTCAAAATAGTCTTTTTGTTGTATCTAGGCCAGGTAGCTGATGGGCTTGCTCAAGGCCACGCTTTGACTGGAGTTTGTTGAAGAAAGCTGTGCACACCTGCATGGTGAAGATGACTGACTGGAGAGCACCGCTGGTAGTAGATAGTTTGCAGGTGCTCTGGAGGAGATTGCTCCTTATTTCCAATCAAAAATCTATCGATCATATTATTTTCTTTCCTCAGTTTAAAAAAAAATGTTGCTTTCTGGTAATACCTTTTATCTTCGGCATTTTATCTGACTTCTTGAGTCGCAGGTGCCACACAACTCTCCGTGTGGGTTATTGGCGGGTGCTCAGGTGTGGTTTGCTTCTTCTTTCCTATAAAAAAAATCTATCATCGCTATCTCCCCTCCTTCTTTTTTGTGTTTGTTACTCTCTTGTAACACCTCTAATCTTCGGCACTAATATTACCTCATTGTGTTGCAAGTGCCGTAAAACTCTTACTAAAACTTTAAAAAACTCTTCGAGGGTGGTTGCCGGATGCTTATCTCTCTTCCTTCATTTCTTTGTACGAGGTCTGTCTCAGAATAAAGTTTCCCTCCTCCATAAAATCAAAAGTAAGCAACCAACAGCCACTAAAGTTTGTGACGTCATGACATCATGTATGAGAAATCTCAACGCAAGTGCATTGGTGAACGGGTCTTAGAGCTGTGACGTGTCAAGTGTGGTGTTCTTGTGCACGTTGTCCAAGGCAAATTCCAGGAAAATGGCAGAGCAAAACATTGGTGCAACCTTACCATTCTACGATGTCCGAGTTGTGATCAAATGTTCAACTCTGCTTGGCAAGTCTGCATGTGAAACCCAAAGTGATCTATACAAAGTAATTAGGAATAATGCCCCACCAATTCAAAAGTAAGGAAATGGATCAGGGAGTTTGAAAGTGGGAGGTTTGACATGAAGGATGAAACACACACAGAAAACACGGGGAGAGAAATGTGTGATGCACTTTGGGTTGTTTTTTTTTCGACATGAGTCGCACCACACTGAGCTAGCTAGTCACATCTAGCGTAACTGCCAATGCTGACAACTACAGATTCGTCCTCAAACGTCCTCAAAGCTGAGACCCGCGATCAGGACAAAAGGCTCACTTTGCTTGAAGAAGGCGTCATCGTGCATCATGACAACGCACCTGTTCACAAGTCCAGAGTTGTGGACGAGCTTTTTGAGGGCTACTCGTGGGAATTATTAGAACACACGCCCTATTCGCCCGATCTCGCCCCATGCAACTTCCATCTCTTCCCCAAGGTGAAAGAAATGCTGCTAGGTCGGCGATTTGAGGACAAGGACCAGATTCAAGAGGCTATGAGAAGAGCACTGGGGACCTTGGACAAACGATGACTGACCACAGTCTTGGACCGCTGCGTACATCAAATAGAAAAATGTCTTAAACTTGATGTTCCTACGTTGAATAGGCATTTGAATAAGCTTTCTGTTGATACCAAACACAAGGTGATTTATAATTATATGTGAGGACAGCATGACAGGGAAACTTTATTCTGAGACAGACCTCGTATTTGCATGTTGCTCTCTAGTACCACCTCTACTCTTCAGCATTTATATGATC